TGAGCACGGCGGGGCAGTGCAACGGGGGCACGCTTGCACGCACACACGCGCGCACACACACACGCACCTCGAACAGACGACGCATCGCCAAAGAGGCCCGCCTTGAAGAGGTGAAGGGATGCGATGGCCAAACCTTCGCTTCTGCCAATGCGCTCGCCCGTATCAGGCTCGTTGAATGTCCAAGCAGCACCAGCACCCGCATCCAGCAAGACCGACACGATGAACAGATCCACCAACGATCGAGCTTCTTCCAGCGAATCAGTGCGAGTATTGGCATGATGCGCACGAGCATTCCACTGCGATCGCACAGCAGCGATTCGCCCTTCTCCAAAGTGCCTCCACCTGCCGTGCGGTGGGATGCTGTCGATGTTGGGATAGTCGCGCTGCGTTGCGCGCAGAGCAAAGGCAGCATGGAGTGAGCGGGAGTGAGCGGGAGTGAGCGGGAGTGAGCGGGGGATGAGGGCGCGAGCTAGCAAAGCGCATACAACCCGCGCATACAACCGCGCACATACGCACCTCGACGATGGATGTGCAGTAGCGCACGACATGGGGCAGCTTGTCAGGCTGGTAATCGAACCAATCCAGCTTGCCTTGTTCAGCCAATTTGAACACGCTGGCGCATCGTTCGCGAATGGCAGGCAATGAGCGCAGATATGTCTTGACGTCGTCGCTCGACATGGCGGTGGGTGGTGGTGGTGGTGGTGGTGGTGGTGGGGGCGCGCGTTTGCAGAGATAAGCGCGGTGTTGAGGTGTGCGTTGCGTTGCATTGGTGATTGTTTGGTGCGCACGGCGTGCACCGCCACGTTTGACCGCGTCCGTGTGCGTGCGCGTGCGCGTGTGCGGGCGCAAAAAGCAAAGTCAAGTCACGCACGCGCTCACGGCGCTCGCGTTGCGTGCAACACAAGTTGTGCGCGCAACGACCACCACCAGCTCGCGCACCACCAACACCGCCAACACCTCCCCCCCTGCGCCGTCATGTCCGTCTTTGACTACACTGCACCATGTGAGTACCCTTGCCGCGCCGCGCGTGCACCCGTCCTCGCTTTTATTCCCACCCACACCACTTCCTCACCAATGCTTCATCCCCCCCCCGCGCCTACCATCAGGGCCAATCTACGGTGTGACGTGGTCCAATGCTCCATCCGCCCGATCACGCAGCGATCTCTACGCTCCACGAACAGGCACAGGCACAGTCGCAGGTGCAACGGGTGCTCGTGTGGCCATCAGCAGCTTTGTGGAAGAGGCGAACAACGAGGTGCAGGTGTTGGGAGTGAGGAGTGGCAGCGATGGGTGAGCAGCCTGCGCGGGCGCGGGCGTGGGCGTGGGCGTGGGCGCCATGTACAGCAGCTCACATTCACACACCCACACCCACACGCAGGCCGTATTTCGATGCGCTGGCCAGCACTGCGCATCCCTATCCCGCTAGCAAGATAGCTTGGCAACCATCCACGCTGTCCAGCGGCGATGCTTCAGAAGCTTGGCAGGACAGAGAGCTGCTAGCCACCACTGCAGATTGTCTGAGGATATGGGAGTGCGCTTCGGATCTGCAGCAGCAGGATGAACAGGCGGCTGCTAGCAGCGGCGGTGGTGGTTTCGTTGGCGCTGCGCATACACGCTTGCCCTTTTCCCTCGTCGAAAAGAGCGTACTGGCTCATGTGAGTTGGCGCAGCGAGCGAGCCTCTGCTCTCCATCGCATCGCATCGCATCGCATCGCGCTGAATCGTCCACTCGATTCGTGTGCTGCCACCCCAACAGGCCAGCAAAAACTCCACCTCACCACCCGCGCCCTTGACGTCGTTCAGCTGGAACGCTCCCTCGCCCTCACTCGTCGTCACCTCCTCCATCGACACGACGTGCACCATTTGGGATCTGCCCACTCGCACAGCTCTCACGCAGCTCATTGCGCATGATCGAGAAGTGTACGACGTGGACTGGTGTCCAGGCTCATCCGACGTGTTTGCCAGCGTAGGTGCGGATGGGAGCGTGCGCGTCTTCGATCTCCGGTCACTGGAGCACAGCACCATCATCTACGAGACTGGTGCGCCGCAATCCAGCAGCGCAAGTTCCAGCAGCGGCGGCGGAGGAGGAGGAGCAGGAGGTCGCAACGGCATCATGCCATTTCCCCTGCTTCGCATCGCCTTTAATCCGTGGGACGCAAACTACCTGGCCACATTTGCAGCGGACACCAACGTCGTCTCTATACTCGATGTCAGGGCGCCCGGATCGCCTATTTTGGAGTTGAGAGGACATGCAGCATCGATCAATTCCGTCGCTTGGGGTCCACCGGGTGCGGGAAGCAGCTCTTCGTCGAGCAAGGGCATGATCAGCACGACGAGCGATGATGGACAAGTGTTGGTGTACGATTTGGCATCTAGCACTCTTCGCAGCGCATCGGCCCAAGGTAGACGGTCACGCAACGGTCGAGGAGGAGGAGCAGGAGGAGCAGGAGGGGCGACGAGCAGCAGCAGCGAACAACCTTCACCGGCGCACACGCCAAGCACGTCCTACTCTGCTTCTCCTGCTCCCAGCAGCGGCGAACAAGCAGCAGCAGCAGCGGCAGGAGTAGCGCAGATTGGAGGTATGGTGGAGAATCCGGTATTGGCGCACTCGGTGGATGCGTGCGTGAACAATTGCGCGTGGCTCAGGCCGTTTGAGAAGCGCAGCAGCAGCAAGGCTGTGGCCATGCCGGCGGAAGACTACTGGATGGCCGTCGTGTCGGGCAGGAATCTGAGGGCATTGGCAGTGTAGCGTGGAGCGTGGGCGCGCGTGTCGACCAGATCAGATGCCATGGATGCTGTATACCCACGGAGAGAGAGAGTGTGTGTGTGTGAGCGTGCGCGGGATGCGCGCGCGCAGAGTGGAGGAGCACGAGATGCGCGACCTACGCGTCACACTCGCGACTTGCATGCATGTGCACCTGATATTCCCCGTCCCTTCAACTTCACCACCACCACCACCACCACCAC